TCGCGGAACGGATTCGGCGATTCGTTCGGCGCGTTTATTGCGCGCCCGAACAGTGTAGTTCTGTAAGCGTGGCACAGAGGACCCCATCAACCTGCGTCACATTGGACCCCACTGAACATTGATATTATTTATCGTAAATATTTCAGATACAAAACAATTAAACGTTTTTGTGCGCACTTTAGTATTGAACCTAGATCCCGACAAACGTCTTATGAATTTTTTTTTAACTGTAGAATCCTTAGAAATCCATAAATATCAAAAAGTTATGACAAGTATTTGTAAGGCTCCAATTACATATCTGCCTTTAACTAAAGTATATATGCTTATTTCGGCATAATTTTTTGATGGAAGTTATATGTTTTGAAAACGAAAGTTTTCATACCCACCGTCACTATTTTGCAGAACGTTAATACAGATAATTCGCACTGTCACATTGGACCCCGTGGCTCAAAGGAGCCCACTCTCCCCTACCCACCACCTTCGACAGCTTCGACTTTCAGTAGCTCTCCTCGTCTGAATAATGCGCCACTGAATATTCAGAATCTGGCTCCACAACATAATAAATAATGCAATTCCAATTTTTTTGTAAATCCATGACTGTGCACCAACAACGCTGATATGCCGCAATGCTTTGATATTACCGCCTGTGTACAAACAGATAAATTTATACACGCCGATTAATTTATACAATCATGTATAAAGTACGCGTAATATGAACCTATATGATTGTAAATTAATCACTGTAGATAAGTACGACATACTGGACCAAGTCGATGGAACACTCACGATCTCTGAGCTCTTTGACGACTAGGCAGGAGATGATGCGGAGTTTGTTCCCCGGCAAGTTAACTCAAGACACGATAAAAACGTTTCTAGGTTATCTCGCGTGATTTGACGTAAAAGCCGCTTACTATACGCCATTGTAGACACTTAGGCGTATACCGGCCTTAATTCTACAGCCTACGTCTAACGCCCACTCTTTGCATTCACTACTCCTGCTGCCATTGCAGACGACGCTTTATAGTTACGCGCGTTGTGGGTGCCTCTACTAATTTTTTCACGCCGTTTAACATGCTTATCGGGCATTCAAAAACTGTCGGCTCCATCAAACAGTGTCCGATGAATACTCTTGGTGTAAGTTCTTTTATGATACCTACTCTGCTGCGGGGTGGTGAGTTTACCTTCTTATATGGTCGGAGTTTAAATGTAACTCTTCTGATGTGTACCTGCTTTGTGGTGTGTGAGATAGGCTTTGCGCTTTGTGAGGAAATCATTTCCCAGTATTCTCTTATAATCGATCGGGAATTCATCCTCTACCACGTACATGGTATGGCGTATTTTCTGGCTTCCGAGGTCTACGGTTACTTTTATTTTTCCGAAAGTGTGGATTTTGTGTCCCGTCACTCCGGTCAAAGTCAGGCGCTTTTCTCGCATCATAGTGTCGCCTTTTAAATTTCCTACTTTGATTAGCGTCAGGATCGCTCCTGAGTTTAATAAGAAATTCGTCTTGCCTTTCTTGGCCTCTTGAATCGGCAGTGTTATCAGGTTTAAGGTATGTATGTTATGTTTCCCTGTTATCTGCGATACTTAATACTCCTCGGCGGCTCGTGCCTTATTCTTCTTTGGTCTCTCGTCTTCTTCGCTGCCGCTACTGGAGGAAGATTCATCGTTCGTTTCTCGCGATTTTTTTTTACCTTTAAACCATTTACTGGCGCCTTTTTGGGGGCGTCCGTTTTCGATCGGCTTGATCATTCCGTGTTGAGTCGTCCGTTCAGCGACCAACACTCTTCTCGCTTATGCCCGGTTCTTTTGCAATAGGTGCACTCGAGCGTATTTATTCCGCCGGGCTTGTCCGGTTTCGGCAACGAGAATCTATTCGCATGTCGGCTCGTATAGAGGCCTAGATAATCAGAGAAGCGACATTGAGGGCACGCTTGCTGATTGGCTGACCGCGGCACCAATCAAAACCGAGGCTATCGGGCCCGCAGCTGATTCCGTGTGCACCACTGATAGCTGCACGAGTCGGTTGGCGACGTTGGCGTGCTCGAACGTGTTCGGACGTTTTGCCCGAACGGGAAATTTTTTTAAGTACTGCGACTGATACTGTCTGCATTAATTGTAATTGCCATTGAGACCTCGCTGCGCAACAGTATACCAGACTTAATAATAAAACAGTGGAAATTGCTGGCCGTATAATTGTCCTCGTACACTCGCCGACAGAAAGGTTGTCCCAAAGTAACGTGTTACATCGAGGTTAGGTGAGTGAAACAGATTAATATATTTTTAATATTATTAAGAAAAGAATTGTAGACATTCGTGAAGTTTTTGGGACATCGTAAATATATGCATTTTGTGTGGATGAGGGTTATATCATACAATAATCAGTAATATTTCTGTTCACTTGTAACTAATTTGAGAGAGAATGTGATCATATTTTAAATATTTTTATAAACTTATTACATTCGTCTTTACAGAAATCAAGAGTTTGAATAAAGAATAAAGATGGTAAAAGTGTGTGAGGTATTTGGGTGTACAACAACCGAAAAAGAAAGACTATCTATGCATAAATTTCCTAAGAATGTGGAACATCGAAATGCGTGGGTAGCTTGGATTAACCGTCTCGGGTGGAGTCTGAAATGTAATAGCAGAGTTTGTGAGGTATTTTATAAGATTCATAAAATATTGAAACATGCCTTCAGATGTGTGTATGTTTATCATGTATTGTCTATTTTGTTGCAGTTGCACTTTGTTCCTGAGAACTATGTGGAGCACACAAGAGGAAATGGAATTCTTCGAAGGCTGAAAACATCTGCTATTCCCTCATTGCAAATAGAGGAAATTCAAGACAGTGAAAATCATTGTAATCCAAAAATTATACGAAGATTTCGACAAACCGCACAATGTTTGAAGGATATAACAAATATCTCTATTATAGGTAAAGAAAAAGAGAATGAGCATGCATACTGCTTGAAAATATTAACTTGTGATGAAGTAAGTATTCTCTCGATTTTTATCACTTTTGTGCCAAAATATCATATATGCTGCGTTCCGATATTCACTGTCAGTACTGAAAATCTATAGTATACGTAACGGAAACTATAGATTTTCAGTACTGGCAGTGAGAATATTGGAACGCAGCCATAGTGTTTGTAAAAATAATTTTTTTTTTGATAAATACATTCTCCCAGCAGGTACAGGACTGTTTAGAAGTAGGAAATACTCATAAAGGTGAGGAATTATGGCTGAGTATAAGATGGTTGAAAGATGAACATAGTGATGTCACACATGCAATGAAAACCATCGATAATGAATCTACATCTTGTTCAACGCCATCAACCAAACATCCATTGTTGACGAGTAGACTAACTGCATCATCGGCTTTATTGCAAGAGGACATGACAGTATCAGTGGCACAAAAAGATTCCGACAATGATTGCAATAATCAGGTAAAGGATTTTTCTTTTTTTTTCCAGGTTTATTTGAAATTGTGGTCGACCTTTTGTATATATTTGTTTATGCATTCTTTTTTAGTTGGGTGCAACCACTGCTGATATACTGGACAACCAAAAAACTTTATACATGTATCTATATCATATGTATTTATATCGTGCAATTTTATTTTCTCTTATAAGTTCGAAATTCAGTATTACTATTATAATTTTTTTTTTACGAATTACGAATATACATATATGTTATGTATTTATGTTATGACAAGGCTCGAATAAAAAAGTAAACACATTATGTATGATTGCCATTTATTTTAAAGACAGTATGAGGTATAACAAATATAACGGATAATTATAAAACTCGTAATCAGAAAAATATTACAAATAATATGACACAAGTGTTTAGGTCTATTTCCTTGTTGTACACTTCTTGGAATTACATTTAGTAGCAGTAGACTGTAACTTACGCAATGTCTTCTCCATTTTGGCAATCTCACTGAACATCTTACATATAACTGCTGCAGGCCTAAGTCACGTTCAACTTTCAGGTCTTGAAGAACTTGTGATGCTTTGCTACACTGCAATTTCAGTTCCTCAATTGTATAACATTCTGTTTTGAAAAGTAGAAAAGGGATTGAATGTCTCTCTTCAATAGCACGAATCTGTAACATACGTTATAACACAAATGAAAATTTTAATTGACATTTTATACAATTGTAAGCACATGACATTGGGTACGTTCAGGAAATAACGGTTGCACAACAGCTAAGTAACTGGTCAATGTAATTGGTCTAAAAAAGATCTAATAGTACAGGCCAATAATCACTGACCGCTCACTGATCGCTTTGTTTTCCAAAAGCGGCTATTAATACTGACCTTTGCAGAATATTCATTTGATACTTGAACAGAAGTAGTATCAGTCTCGTTACATTGTTTTTCCATTTTTATTTCATGAACTGGTTCCTAGACAATGAACAAAACAAATGTCACATTATGATAATAACATTACTTACTTTATCATTTTAATAAGATATAAGTAAAAGTACTAGAGTAGGCATCAGCGAAATAAGTCATTTTTATTTCTTACTCTTACTTCATAGTACGCTTGTAAGTGTAAGAGCTAAAGTTGGACTAAGAAATAAAAATAATTTATTTTGCTTACGCCTTTATTTTAGCTTTATTTTACACTTACTTCTCACTTCTTACGCCTACTCTTATTTTTTACTCCGCGTATTGTAGACGACGCTTCAGAGGTTAGTTTTTTCACAAGCGATCAGCTGCGGGCCCGATGGGAACCATGGTGGGGGTATAGGACTCTAGGTGGGGGTAGAGTTGTCGCTTCTCTGATTATCTAGGCCTCTAGGCTCGTACGGCAATCTCGCCCGTAATGGCCTGTTTCTTCACATTTGTGGCACTGTATCGCCTCGCTCCCCGGATATCGCGCGTTTTCCGAGCTAAACTTATTTTTGTTTGTCGTCTGTCCGTCCCGCGAGGAGGGGCCCTTTACCTTTTCCTCCGCACTGGCGCCGGTTATTGCTTCCTGCAAGGTTGGGTATCGCTGCGCTCTGACTATCATTTTGATATCGTCGTGCAGCCTATTTGAAAATTATGCAGTGCTTGCATCTTAATGCTGTCGAGAATTGCTTTCTGCTGCTCTTGCGAGTGCTCTTGGCCTTCCTCCATGGCCTCGTACAGTTCTCTCGCTAATTTCTCGACTCGATGCCCGAATTTTTGCGCGCTTTCTCCCGGTTTTTGTTTCAGAGAGTTAAATTCTAATTGCAGGTGGGTCATGCCGCGCTTTCCTAGATATTCCGTTTCTAACTCGCGCTTTAACTGCTCGAAATCGCGAATATCGCGCGTGTCGAAGTCTGTCATGGCCTTTCCTTTGAACTTTGTACACAATATGGTCTCTAAGAGCATGGCTCCGTCTGCGGGCTGAATATTCTTCATCGCGTATGTACTCGCTTATAAATTCGCAGACGCGCTCTCGGAATTTTCCGTTTATCTCGGGAATCATGTTTCGGGCTTCCTTCAGACTGAGGAACCCGATGTGGTGTCCCGGTTGATTACGGACGTCGTTATGGGTTCGCCCGTATGTGACGTCTAAAGGACCCTGGCTGCATACGTGGCGATCTCGTTCGTTGGGGCGATCGTAGGTGGTGGCTTCTAGCCGGCTTACGCGGTCCTGTATATCCCGCATAGTGCGAAGAAGTTCGACAGAGCGATCGGATCTGTTCGCGTCGGCTCGGGAGCTCGACTTTGGTCGATTTCGGACGGTCGCCTGTTAGTCGCGGGTCTAAGTCGCTCTATTTCCGCGTTGACCTGCGCGGGTGTTATGTCTTTGCGTGGTGCAATGGCCGGGGCAGCTCGTTGCTGGCTCAACATTTTGTTGGTCTGGGAGGTATAATCTTCTTTGGTCGGATCAAATACGTCGCTGTCGTAAGAAGTCAAAGAGAATTCTCCTCTCCCAGAGTTCTCACTCTGAGTGTCGCCCGAGGTGTCCGATCGTGCGTCACCTTCGGTCGGGGGGAGTCGGCGGAGTCTACAGGGTGTATCATTTTAAGTGATTTAGCTGAATATCTCTTAAAGTAAAAAAGATTGGAAAAATTGTTTCAGACAAAAGTTGTTTGGTTCAAAAGGCGACATAAGATCGTGTCATTGGTTTGACCTTGAGTGAACGTGCCGAGGTCATATGAAGTTCAACTTTGTTTTTTTAAATGGAACTCCCTATTTTTCATTGCATATTTTTGTAGCTTACCTAAAGAGCTTTTCAAAACTCTTTTTATATTTGAGTATTTTTTCATAAAGTACTTTTCAAGTTACAAGGCTTGAAAGTTACAATCCCGCCGGCATTAGCATACCCAAGGTGTACCGGCCAATGAAGACAAGACCCAACATTGATCCGGCCAGTGAAGGCAAGACCCAAGATTTGATCCGGCCAGTGAAGACAAGACCCAAGATTTGATCCGGCCAGTGAAGGCAAGACCCAAGATTTGATCCGGCCAGTGAAGGCAAGACCCAACATTGATCCGGCCAGTGAAGGCAAGACCGATTGACTCACAAGTAGGGTCACATCGAAGTCACATTGTGTATTTTTGGTTTACAGCATATGCTCAAATGTACTACCATTCTGTTGGATACATAATTGCAACCCAATAACTTTCAAGCCTTGTAACTCGAAAAGTATTTCATGAAAAAATACTCAAATATAGGGTTTTGAAAAGCTCTTTAGGTAAGCTACAAGAATATGCAATGAAAAATAGGGAGT